GTGAAGCTGCAAGCACGGGCCTGTAAAATTATCCTGCATAATGGCTACCAACACAGTATCGCATATTTTCGCCCTAGCTAAAATTGAATTCTGTCCCCTGTACCTTTATCAGAAGTCAGACAATATCAGGTATAGTCCAACAGGTTTATTTGAAATCACAAGCTTTCAGAGTGTTGCCTTTCATCAGGTGAAGTGACTTCGTGCAGACTTAGTATCACCATTCTTGATTTGCTGATACCATGAGTAACTGGAAGACAAAGAAGTCAGTTGTTTTCTCTTGACTCACCTACTTTTATTTAAATGCACTGTGTTGATCAATGACCAAGCAGTCAAATTACCTCATTTGTGTGGGGGTTTGGCTGGTGGATGGGCAAGAGAGAATGGAAAATAAATATAACCCAATTTAAGAGTGGGGACTGAGCAATAAATCAGCTCTGCTGCTGAAAAGTAAATGATGTATCAGAGTAATTGCAGCTGAATATCAGTGAAAATAAATGAAGATTGTGAAACTTGGAGATACTTAAAACATAAATGTTCCTGATCAAGCTACATTCTGCCCGACAGTGCTAAATAGTGATGTATTGAAATATTACCAAGCTTATTTATGTGTTCTACAGAATGTACATTCTCTCTTTAGAGACTGTACATCTTAGATTAGCAATAAAATGAAAATTGATTATTTAATCCTAATCACGTGGAGAAAAATCCAGCATTAGTCTATATATCTGAAATACTGGTAAACAGATGGATTCTAAAAATATTAATAGATTGACATACGATTCAAACCAGCAGACAGAAAACTTTTGTTGTCTGATTCAGGTGATTTGCTGTTCACACATAAATCATGTTTTCTACTTTAGTATACCATTATCAGAATGATTATGTGCTGTGGAGGAGAGATGTATTGAACATTTGGAAAAACAAATCAGTGCATAGCACTGTTCATAATGTTTGACAGGATCATGTCACGCAAATAGCGAACATGCAGAAGAGAATTTAAATATTAAAGAATTTTAAACACTACAGTGCGTGTGAAATTACAGTGATGGAACATTTAGCAGTGAAGCACTTGCCCGTATCTTTGTGCTGCAAACCACATCAGTTAGTACAGCATAAAGAAAAACAATTGTATTTGTTTGAGGTCAATCAACTCAGCTCCAGGAGTTTCTCACTTCTGCGCTTGAAATCCAACCATTTTCAGTTACTTACCCTCCATCATAAAGTCAGAAATAGGCAATGGAAAAGAAAAGGAACAGCAAAGACAAAGGCCTTAATGTAGATGAAGTTCACCACATTATACATTTTTTTTGGCAAAAATTCAAAAAAAATAAAATGTTTGCTTCTGTTCCCAAGGAGATGCCTATTACCCCACAAGTAGACAGAAATGGAAAGCATGTTTTTATTTTTGTCCAGGAAGCAATATTCTTCTGTCAATCATAGATTCAAAACATTACATGTTAAATTTAGATTTTTGTTGTCAGGTGTGCTCAAGTACAAAAGTAAGGAGTACAGTGACAAGTGTATAATGTTGCCACACAAGGCACCATCTTAGGTACAAGTACCTAGGTGCAGAATCATAAGAACAAGGTGGAAAGAAAAACCAAAGTTAAAAGTTAAACATTACAGTAATTCTTAGTATTAAGTAGAAAAACAAAGAAATAAAGCGAAAAGCCAAAAATTACAGTCTTGAAATGCTTAGCCACGCTGGGATCACACTTCCTACAGACGCACGATCTCCTCTTCTTTGCCATGCTTTCCCTTCACACTCCATTCCAGGAGTCCCCACACCAGGCCTACCACACCGCCGCTGAAGCAACCAACGCATCTGTCAATCCATCTAAAGTATCAATTCAGGCCTACCGCATTATCGCAGCTAACTGATTCCCATGGCAGAGGCCGCCCTCCCGTTGAAAGCTGATGCCGCTGCCACCACCTCGAGTCTTACACTGGGCGCACCAGTGGCAAAGATGTCTCAATCCAGTGCCATCACTCGCTGCTGGACCCAAAATCACTGCCATTGCAAGCTCCCCAAAGACTTGCTCCCTCTGCCCTGGCCTTGCTCTCCCCAAGGAGCCAACGTCTGGCACCACTGCTGCATGTGCTAAGAAGTCCAGGCCTGCTCTCGCCTTACCGAGGACGCCAAAAGGCCTTGTCTTTAGTCGCCGCTGAAGCAGTCACGAGGCTGGATCCACTCACTGTCGCAGCCTTCCCGAACCTCCTACAACAAGTTATTGACTCTTATAGATATTTTATAAATGATAGTCAAAGCTGTAACAGTCTGTGGGGCTGTGTTGTTAAAGAAACACTTGCACGTATGTAAGGATTTTTCAAGACCACCAGACATTTAAGAGCTTGAGAAATTAAGTACTTTTGAAATGTAGTTACTGTTGCAATGTAGAAAAGTGGGTCAGTAATTTCTACATAGCATTGTAAAATACAAAGAATTTCAAGATCAGTTTAAAGAGCCAATCTCAGGAGAGGAAATGTTGCAATGCAATAAAGTATTATGCAATTTAAGCTTAAACTTGTCTCCATACAGTTTTTCTCAATAATTTGCTTTGCTTTCCAGAAACATAAGCTGAAACCTAAATTTGCATAGGTTCATGCATACAGCAGGTTCGTGAGAACACCCTGGATTTAAACAAGTAACATTCTGATTTGGCATAACACCAAAACCTTTTGGTGCAATATTATGCCTATTAATAGCAATTTATTTATACTTTGTTTATTCCAGTTTTTTTATACCTGATATCAGTGTGGCTGAAATTTGTTCAGTTTGATAGCAATTTATTTTGCATTCGTTTTGCCTGCTTGTCTGAAAGATCTGAATTATTCTTAACCAAAATGTCTTCAATCTCATTGCACCTACTAAATTTTGGAACAATGCTTGGAGGGACTATGCAGCTGGAATGCCCTTGCTAATGGAGAGTAGAAGGATCAGCTAAAGCTGTTGTGAAGGAGCTTCGCAAGACAGAAGTCCACTCACAATTTGAAATTGGGACCCAAAGTTGTTTTTTGCAATTTTTTAACATATTAGAATTAGCAAGTGAACAACACAGGAAAAATGTGCAAAAGCACCTTTCAGTAAAGTTGGTGCGGAAATCGGCAAAAAATTCAGGGTGAAAATTTAGTGAATTACATTTTTCATAATTACTTTTCACATGCTTTTGACCATTTCCATTTTAAATTTTAAGTGCTGAACTTAGCCACACAAATTATCAATTGAGTTTTATACATGATCATCCTTTAAAATCATAGTGTAATATTTGTGTATATATTAACAACTACTGCTAACTCCACAGATAATGTATAAAAACAAGCTTCACTTATGATGGACTTTGTGATATTTTGAGTTTCTCATTCCAATGTTTTTCCAAATTAAATTTGAGAGAAAGAAAAGATGTCTGCTGTCTTAAAACTTAAACATGGGAATTTGATATCTGAATCTATTTTAATGAATTGGCTATGATTTAGCTTAGTTTTGGCATTAATATACAAGTACATATCCACCTTTTGATCACTTCAGTTGTAGAGATAGAAATGAGTAAATAAGGCTGTGTATATATCGTAGAATCTCTACTATGCTGATGGAGGCCACTCATCCCGTCAAGTCTACACCACCCCACCAAAGAGCATACCACCTGGACGCACTGTATCCCCATAATCCCGCATGGGTTTTTATTTTATGGCAAATCCATCTAATCTGCATAACTTTGGTCTGTGGGAGGAAACCTGAGCACCTGGTGGAAACCCACACAAACACAGGGAGAATGTGCAAACTCCACACAGCCAGTCACTTAAGGCTGGAATTGAACCTGGGTCCCTGGCGCTATGAGGTAGCAGTACTAACCTACTGTGCTATCATGCCACCCATGTTAATATCCTCGTTATTAATTAGACTGCAGTTGCCTTCGAACAACTATAAATATATTCAAGATTGTATATTAAATATAGAGATATTAGTTATACTGTATTTGCCTTTGAACATTGTTAGTGATGTGATAAAACTAAATGAGCAGATTATGTTATGAAATGTACAAAATTTAATTTTACTCTATGTCTAATAAAATAATTCACCCATTAAATTGTAGGCCAGTCTTAAGCACATTATTTCTTCATACATGTCATTAATCTTTATAGAAAGAAACACTAAAATTGAATAATTCGGAATATCTACAATTATTATTTTTGCAATTATACATTTTCCATTTCAGAAAAATTCACTTTTATATGACATTAATTTACTCTGTGTTATATATGAACTAAATACTCCAACTACCATTATACACATTGACTCAACTCTTGTAATAATCAGGAGCATTTGTTTGAAACAAATTATTATTCTTGCATCAATGTTGCATTTTAACATTGAAAGATAGTCTTTCGAGATAATAATTGTTCTAGGGAAATTCAGTATTACAGTACTGTAATTTGGATGCATGTTCTGAAAGATTGCAAAATAATTAATGCATTGGATATGTCAGTTGTGAATGTTAGAATTACTTTACATGTTGCAATCAGTGGTCTTCAAAATATGTTTTATCAAGATTCATCATGATTATTGTAAGTAATAATCCAGTTAGTGGTACAACAAGTTATCCCTAAATCGTCATCCCTAAAAAGAAGATCTCAATTTTCCTGCTTTCACATTAGTTTCACATTTTCCACCAAATTACGAATTGTATTAATATAACAACCTTGTGCAGTAAAATAATTAACTAAATATGTCCTTTCATCGTTATAAATGGTGACAGTCAAGACTCCAGTGAATTCAAGATCAGTCAACACATCATAATTACTTTTGGATAAGTTGGACATTGGTAAACATTTACAAACTGAAGCAGATCCTAACTGTTTGTAGCAAATGAGCAATCGTAATATGCATCATATTTACCAGGCAGAGTTACAACGCTGTGTTTATCTGGGAGCAATAGGTACATTATAGACTTAAAACGTCAATTCATTCAATAAGCACACATGCCTTTCTTTTAAAACCCTAGGTCTATATCTTTGAAAATAACATCTACTACCAGACTGAAGTAAAGAGCAGTGCCCTGCGCCTTACCTCATCGGGAAAAGAGGGGATAATCTACAACGGCATAGCAGATTGGTTATATGAAGGTAAGAGACATAATTTTATTGCAACACAAATGCCCGAAGTAAAATTAAAAGCCAATAAAGTCATATTTACCACTCCATGTAGTGGAAGCTATAGTTCTACTTTTTGCATGACTTTCACAAGCTTGACATTCTGAAAATACCATTAACAAGTTAAAAATAAATGGTGTTGCTTTTATGTGAAATAATTTTGAGTTAATACAACATGTTCATAATTGACAAAACAAAAAAGAGATAATACTTTTCTTGTCAGCGATATTTCCAAGATAGGTTATATCACTGTAAATTTGAAGTGACTTAGTAGATTTTCAGAACCACAGAGACAAGGAAAAGGAAATTGAAATGATTGGAATGTATTGCAGAGACCTTTTGTACTGTAGAGGCTATGACCCTATGGCTTTAACAGTGAGTATGATTTACAATAGTGGGTCAGATTGGCACCAGAGATGAATCAGCCTACTTCCGGCTGTCTCAGCATTTAAGTTCTAAGCAGGAAGATCAATAGTTGATCTTTTCTGATCTGCTACCAACTCAGGTCTTTAAGTCATCATTTAGCGACAAGATAAGGGGCTCCACCTGCCACTGGCCCAATTAACTACTTTCCTAGCAGGTGAGAAATGTGACAGTTTTCCTAACAGTGATCTGCCTGTCAGGTTAGTGTGGGCCTCCATTTGCCCCAGTCTGGATCCGACCGGGTATATAAATGTGGGGTGACCACTGAAAACCATGCCTCCTGCCTTTGTCTTTAACACACCTCTCCCAGCAATCTATACCCTTCAACTGCAATAACCTCCACCCACCTCCTCCCCAATAAAAATAACAATCATTTTGCTGGTCCAAGTCTTCATGGTTGCTCAATGGCTGCTGGCTTATGATTGGCCAGCAGCTTCAAGCAAGATGGGACTTCACAAGCAAGACCCCTAATAGACAAGAGGGCTGCCAGTCAGTTCCAAAGTGCTCCATTGATGTTTGATCCAATAGGCTTTCTCACTGATACTGTTTAGGTGGATGGGGAGACTACGTTCGTCACCGATCACCCTTAAGAATGTCTACCCTTACAATTTGTGCAAATTCCGCCCAATAACTCTATAGACTGGATTTTAAAGAACCGCAATTCTCAGCCTGCGAGTGAGTTAAAAATCATGGCCCTGGAAATCATCTTGGTATCTTGATGCCTCTAGGACAGTTTGTATTTCAAAGGGTGACAGGAAGGAGAGTGGAGGAGGGAGTAAAAAACGCAATTGTTGCCAACTAATGGCACGGTGAGCTAATTAATGAGTTTATTAAGGTATTTCGCCATTTGGGTTTGGAATTGTCACATTTATTATGGTCAAACTCAAACCATCTTTTTGATGTAACAGCACACAACTGAATTTCTCATGCAGCTGAAGTAATTATCTGTGTTGTTATTTTGATGAAGTCTGATTGGCCACTAGTCCCAGTACAAGTGCTCCACCAAACCATGCCACCCGTGCCATGGACACTGTCTTTGTCTCTGGCATCAGGCGGGCAAGTCCCACCTCTGGGAGGTACTCAACTCCTCTAATTGGGAGCCAAATTCAGCTGCTGGCCAATGGGTTCAGTTAAATTTAAAAATATTTAATTGGTGTCAATATTTAACTTTATCCAGCTGTATTCCTGACCCTGCATTGACAATCCTGTCCTATGACTCTTCAAAATAAACTAGTAACTTTTCTACAGCGATGTCTTTTGCAATTTTGCAGAGGCTTTGACCACCTTGTCGGTTTAAAATATTGTGAGTTTAGTTTCTAAATGTTTGCATTTCCAAGTAACTAACAAAACAGTATTTCCATTCAATTAAGTTTTTCAAATCTAATGAAACTAGGCAATAAACAGATCATTGCTTTACCTCACAACTATCGTCTCTGAAGGGCACTTATACACAGTGTATTTCCACTCAGAATTGTTTGACTGAAGTCAATAGACTGTTCACTGAAGATTTGCTTCCAAAGATGGATATATTCTAGACATAATGAAAGTCTCCTATATTTTAAAGAATACATGCCCAGGGGAAATATTCACATTTTATATCATTGGAGCAATGACATTACTGGATGTGTTTCACCAGCAATATTTGTCATTTACAGCCACAAAGTTAGCTTTTTCACACTTCATTTAGTGATGATAACAGCCATTCATATCTCATGGATGGGAAGAGGCGGGCGGTGTGGGGTTGGGGAGCGATGAGGTTGGAGGCTGTGTGGGGAACGATGAGGTTGGAGGACAAAGGGGGTGGCCATGGGTACCTGCATGGGCCCAAGCTATGCCTACCTCTTTGTAGGTTACGTGGAACAATCCCTCTTCCATACCTACACTGGCCCTAAACCCCACCTCTTCCTCCGTTACATTGATGACTGTTTCGGCGCCGCCTCGTGCTCCCACGAGGAGCTCGAACAGTTCATCCACTTCACCAACACCTTCCACACCAACCTTAAGTTCACCTGGACCATCTCTAATACCTCTCTCTCCTTCCTGGACCCCTCTGTCTTCATCTCCGGCAACCACCTAGAAACCGATATCCATTTCAAGACCACCGATTCCCACAGCTACCTAGAATACACCTCCTCTCACCCACCTTCCTGCAAAAATGCCATCCCCTATTCCCAATTCCTTCGCCTCTGCTGCATCTGCTCCCAGGATGAGGCATTCCACTCCCGTACATCTCAGATGTCCTCGTTTTTCAAGGACTGCAACATCCCCCCCTCCAGTGGTTGAAAACGCCCTCGACCGTGTCTCCCGCATTTCCCGCAGCTCATCCCTCACACCCCCTCCCCGCAATAACAACCAAAACAGAATCCCCCTCGTCCTCACGTACCACCCCACCAACCTCCGGATCCAATGCATCATCCTCCGACACTTCCGCCATCTGCAATCTGACCCCACCACCAAAGACATTTTTCCCTCCCCACCCTTATCTGCTTTCCGGAGGGACCACTCTCTCCGTGACTCCCTTGTCCGCTCCACACTCCCCTCCAGCCCCACCACACCCGGCACTTTTCCCTGCAAGTGCTACACCTGCCCCTACACCTCCCCCCTCAAGCATCCCAGGCCCCAAGAAGACTTTCCACATCCAGCAGATGTTCACCTGCACATCTGCCAATGTGGTATACTGCATCCGCTGTACCCGTTGTGGCCTCCTCTACATCGGGGAAACCAAGCGGAGGCTTGGGGACCGCTTTGCAGGACACCTATGCTCGGTTCACACTAAACAACTGCACCTCCCAGTTGCGAACCATTTCAACTCCCCCTCCCATTCCGCAGATGACATGTCCATCCTGGGCCTCCTGCAGTGCCACAACGATGCTACCTGAAGGTTGCAGGAACAGCAACTCATATTCCGCTTGGGAACCCTGCAGCACAATGGTATCAATGTGGACTTCACAAGCTTCAAAATCTCCCCTCCCCCTACCGCATCCCAAAACAGCCCGGCCTCCCTAACCTGTTCTTCCTCCCACCTATCCCCTCCTCCCACCTCAAGCCCCACCCCCATCTCCTACCTACTAACCTCATCCCGCCCCCTTGACCTGTCCGTCCTCCCTGGACTGACCTATCTCCTCCCTACCTCGCCACCTGCACTCACCTTTACTGGCCCCATCCCCACCTCTTTGACCTATCTGTCTCCTCTCCACCTATCCTCTCCTCTATCCATCTTCTATCCGCCTCCTCCTCTCTCCCTATTTATTTCAGAACCCCCTCCCCCTCCCCCATTTCTGAAGAAGGGTCTAGGCCCGAAACGTCAGCCTTCCTACTCCTCTGATGCTGCTGTGTTCATTCAGCTCTACACCTTGTTATCATGGATTGGAAACCTGTTTTTCTCAGTCATTCAGTTTTTTTTTCACCCAGTTAATGCTATTGCGAGGGCCTCACCAGCAAAGTAGGCAGACATTCTTTTGGCATTTTAAAGGATCTGCAAGGAGAATTCTCACGACCATTCTTTTTCATGTCATTAAGACAAATGAAAATCATTGTTGATTGTCACAACATAAAAACGTCCTTACTGGTCTAACCTGAACTTGACTCCAGAACCAGAGCTATGTGGTTGACTCTCAATTGTCCACCAAAATGCCCTCATTTAATTGTATGAACTGCTAGAAAGTCTTAAAATGGAATGAAACCAGATAGACCAGACTGGTAACAACTAGGCATCAGACATGACAATGACAAACACAACCCTGTCAGCCCTGCAATGTTCTCCTTAATAGAGTCAGGGTTCTAGTGTCAAAATTAGTAGAGCAGTCTCACAGGCATAGTCATACTTTTGTTTTCCTTTATTCATTAACAGGATGAGGGCATTGCTGGCTAAGCAGCATTTATTGCCCATCCCTAATTGCCCAGAAGGCAGTTCAGAGTCAACCACATTGCTGTGGGTCTGGAGTCACATGTAAGCCAGACCAGGTAAAGATGGCAGTTTCCTTTCCTGAGGACATTAGTGAACCAGATGGGCTGTTCCAACAATTGACAATGGATTCATGGTCATCATTCGATTCTTAATTCCAGGTATTTATTGAATTCAGGTTCCACCATCTGCCGTGGCAGGATTTGAACCCAGGACTCCAAAACATTATGTAGTCCTCTGGATTAACAGTCCCGTGAAAATACCACTAGGCCATTGCCTCCCCATGACTCGTAGAATAATACCTTACAGACAATATCCCAAACAGCACTGTCACTGTTCCTAGGCATGTTATTCTCCTCTGGAAGGGCAGACTCAGCAGAGGTGGTAGTAAGTGATATACATGGGGCTGCACCTCAACATTGACTGTGGACCCCACAAAGTCTCACAATATCAGGTCAAACTTGGGCAAGGAAGCCTGCTGCTGATCACCAGATGCCATATTCCCTTGGCTGATGAATCAGCACTCATTAATGTTGAACACTGCTTGGAGGAACCACTGAGGGTGGCAAGGGTGCACGGTGTACTCTGGGTGAGGGACTTCAATGTCCACCACCAAGAGTAGTCTGGAAGCTCACCACTACTGACC